CTATTATTTAAAGACATTATGATTTTATACACTTCATGTGCATCTACAGGACTCAGGAAAATAGCATTAGGACTTTTATTATTTTTATGTATATTAATGTTATTATTAGATGTCTGATTAGATGTTAAATTAATAAAATAGTCATTAAATATATTACAAATGTCATGTGGATTATTATAAGTCACATTATTCAAATTTATTTCGTCAATATCATTTTTATACATGTCATTATTAGAAATTGTTGAGGAGATTGCGTTCCAAGTAGCTTTACATTTATTTTTATGCTTTTGTATACGTCTTGTGTTTATAAGTTTCTGTGCTGTTTGTGTACATCGTTTGAATACATTAGTATAGAGTTTGTAGTTGTTCTCGTTTTGTTTTTTATTTGTTTTATTCCGTTTAAATTTTAGGTATAGCTGACGTTTCATTTTACTCGATTTTTTAATGCCTTTCGTTATCCAGTTTATCGCGATTGGTTTATTATTGACTTTGACTTTAATGGTCGGAAAGCACAAATTGTAAAACATTGTAAAAGTTTCATAAAATAAATTAAACGCTTCTGTTAGAGTATTACAGTTAAAAGTTTCCGAAAAAGAAAGACAAGATATACACTCAACAAATTTTTTCAGGTTTTCCGAACAATAGTCACGTTTTAATTCTGACCAATACGATATTTTTTTCTGTTTTCTAGCTTTTATGGTTACCGTTTGTGCCGTTTCGTGATCTGACAATCCTATGTGATAAACGTCTGACTGAACATTTTTTATGTTACTGGCAATTTGGTCAATGCAAGAATCCGCCCGCGTAGGTGATTTTATGTGAGCTTCAAAGTTATAATTAGTAAGTATGCTTACAAGCTCTTTTGATGCAGGGTTCTGCTTTAATATATCGATATTCCAATCGCCACAAATTACAATTTTTTTCCTCCTATACTGGTCTGTCAAGTAATTTAACAAAATGTCAAGTTTATGCAGAAAAGTACCTATTTGTGCCTTTCTCTGATCGGGTATTCTATATATGGTAACGACTATTAGGTTTAAGCCAGTAACCTCTACGCCACAGCACTCAAAATAAAATGTTGTAGCTAGATTTGCAGGAAAATTTAATGCTTTAGTGTCAAATACCTTATTCGTCAGAACACAAGTGCCCCCTCTACATTTATCGCGGCTAAATGCTGCAGCTAATTTAAAATTATTAAGTTTAATATTAGTTTCCGTGCCTTGTTTCAGAAAAGTTTCACTAAAACATAATATATCCACCTCCAAATTTTTTTCCACTAATTCAGATAGAGTTACTTCCAACATATCTAATTTGTTGCAGATGCCAGCTATATTTTGGTGTAGGATTCGTAATTTACTGTTTCCGCAATTATGTTTTAATTTATCAATACTAACTCCATTTTTATCAGTGGTACAATTTGGAACGAAAAAAATTACTGTCGTTATTGGCATCATGAATGAAATTTCGTTTACTTAAACTCAATTTTGGACCTGGACCACTACTCTTATAGTGCAAATAATCAATTTCTATATTCAGTTTATAGGTAATTAACTCTAATTCCGAAAGCTTTTTGTAATAGTTTACATCCAACTCGTTAACCTCAATAAATCTACAATTCTTGAAGTTTTTTGTAAACAATTTTAGTTCGTGATTAAGTTTCTTGACATTAAGATACCTATTCTCTGAAACATTTAACATTAATATTGTACAATTGCTCAAACTACACAGAGTACTACACAGATTAGTTAGCAACATGTAAGGATTTTTATCGTGTTTACCAACTGAGAGTATGACAATATCATCGTCAGATAGGATATTTGATAGGTAATCTGGATTTCGTAGGATCTCGCATGATGAAGCATATGGTTTAACATTACCCTCGATATTAAAATTATCATTCCATCGACCTGATTTAGTTTGAATCAACTGCGCAGATAGACCTCTTACTTTTTCGTCTCCAATGATATAAATATTTTTCTTTTTATTGCTTTTTAATCGGGTTGTACATTTTGTGCTTTCTTGCAGTTGTTCATTCGGAGAATCCACCGATATCTTTTTAACCAAGTCATTGTCAATATCATGTATTGTATCTTGACGATTCCGTGTGTCGTATTTTGTTTGTGAGGAGAGTGCGTTGGGTGTTATTAGTTGATCTGTGAAATCTAATTTAGTTTGAGTGGGACCTTTATTCTTTTTCTTCTGTGAAGCTTTTCTGGGTGTCGATTTACAAATATCTTTGAAACAGCGCGAGATTAGCTATTTTATTTAATATTAAAAAATTACATTAACTTTCATTCGTCATACATAGCATTAGGTGCTGTGTATTATTTACACTTAGAGATGATCAAAATCCTTATTTTGGTAATTCATTACCATTTTTTATTTCAGAAGATACTTATAAATATTTTATATTAAATAAGTCACAACTTTCGTGAAATTGCTAGGTAGGTACCTACCATAAATAATAAATCCATACTTATAAAACGACGCGTGCGCATAGATAGAAGTAAGAATAGACTCTTGTATATTGCGTGAAATCGCTCTTCAACACAGGCCAAATTCTCTATTAAACGGGCTGTGTTTGTAGCGACGAAGAATATGTGTAACATTTGAATTTGTATCGAGACCTTTTTTCGCCCTGGTTGAGGCGAGAAGGAGTGTCAATCTAATTGACTAAAACCACCCACTACTCTCCTGTTCCAGGCCAGAGCCGCAGTATATTATTACGCTTGCATACGGCTGTTGATCGAGAGCTAAGAATGATAAAAATTATCTTAGATTTTCAAATTAACATTAATAACATTGATTTATTGATTAGAATTTTCAGCAAACTTTCTTCTGTACCCGTAAAGTTTTCAAGCATAGTAATAGTAAAGTTAGTAATTTTTGTCCAAAATTGGAAAAAAAACCACCGATTAACTTCGTTATCACAAGAAAACAACATCGTGCGTTGTTTTAAACTATTTCGGTTTTAGATGGTCTCGCAGATAGCAATGCAGTCACGTCCAAAAGGTATGTCGAAGAAGGCTTCCTTTGTCTTAAGTTTTTTTTTCTAAATAAACGGCCGTCCATCATTGAAATTTAAATGAAGTTCTGAGAAGCTCAGGTTGACTTGTAAATAATAAATAAATTATGTAAGTTAGTGTGCATCTCAACACTGCCAAGTTTATGGAACATCAGTCGTAAAATATTGAGAATGAATACGATACGATTAAAAGTTGAAGGATAAGGTTAAGGTGAAACTATTAAATTCTTCTAAAACAAATGTGAGATTTTAATAACCTAGTTTTAATGTTATTTATACTTTTGACATTTGCAAACAAGTATTTCTACTTTCTAACTGATAAACAGATTCAAAACAAATGCAAAACTATTTGTATGTACTTAAAGTCTCTGAACCTAAATCAATCTAAATCACAGTTAATCCAAAATAATTTTACGTCTACTTACGGGTTTAATACGTAATTTAGATAAAAAATTGTACCTATAAATGTTAATTTATAATATTAATTTTTGCAACTCAAGACAACTCAACAAAACAGAATCGATTTACGTTAAAATTTAATGCAAATTCCTGTACAGAAAATTAGCTTTAAGTTGTAATAGATAAGTCACGATTTTCAATGCCTAGTGCACACTTAATTATAAAATACTAAACCTACCTCACTGTAATTACTCGAAGGTCGTGTACCGCAGACACTGGGAGTTAGGCACTCAAGGTACATACTTAGTAATGCTAATATATCTGAAATATTATCATAATATAATCTTATTGTCACGAAACCATTATAAAACCTGTTTTATTTGTATTCCAATTGTATAACGCAAATATTTATTCGATAGGACAAACGCGTAAATGTACTTTTGTATTGTAAAGAACATCGTACTAACATTATAAACGTCTTTCGTCTAATAACTATGGAATACGTTTTGAAGAAAATTGACACAGTGGTTTTTAGTCGAGAATAACACGATCAAATCCGCTGGCGGAAACTAGTTTGACAATATAATCACCCCATGTAGAAGTGAAACAAACTGATATACCTAGCAGATCAGCAGTTTTGTCTAGGTGAAGATGTAACTAAGATCTTTACTTAAGTGTCAACTGACAGGTAAATCCTCCAATAACGTATTTCAACATTGATCGCGTTGACACTTGACAGTATCAAATCAACATTAATACCATCGGAATCAAGGCGAACATCAACCCGCCAATCAAATCTTAGTCCTAATAATACCATAAAATCTTCACAATGCATCCATATTCTAAGAAATCGTGCAAAATAATATCTGAAGTCATAATCAAACGTTCCATCTAAGTGATGAGCTCATGACTCAGGTAACACACAAATAGAATAATGTCCTAACACAACTCGTTAACTTATTAACATAACAACAACTGGCATAAGTTAAGTAATCGTAAATGCGCAATAAGTTTACAGACCTACATTATTTAATATCAGTAAGAAGTTATATTATTGTATTAGGTATGATTTGATAACATATCAGCACCTCATCAGCCTATTGATACCCACAATTAACAAAAGCCTCTTCTCGTACGAAGAAGGGACGAGTAATGCAGTTCATTAAATAAGCAGAATAGAAGAAAGGACATTTCAAAATTGTCTTGGTACAATATATGTATTATTTATTATATCTAAAAGTCAGATGGGCTATAAAATATCTAAGGATTAACAAAAAGATTTTCTACTATTAAAATGCCTATTTAATTCAGTATAACATATTTTTTTCTAATCAATCTTCGCTGTCCCGTGAAAAGACTATAAAATAATAGAAAGATAATTATCAATGTTCATGTGTAAAACTCATTTTGAGATAACGACACGTTTCTGAACCGATAATTAATATGCAACATGATAGCTTTCCAATACATTATGAGTACACGATTGCAACGAACTTTCTCCAGCTTTCAGATTACATAAAAATAGAAAAACTTATGTGATAGAAACATGTAAGTTTAGCTTAGATAATAAACTTACCTAATAGCAACGGACGCATTTTGCAGTTCTCCAAATATTCTTAAGATCTGTAAATAAGAAATTGTCTAGTTAGATTATATATTATGGATCTCGTATCTATAACATGATAACTCAACTGGAATTGACTTCATTATTCAGAACCCAATATAAAAATCATCACAATGTTGCTAAGTGAATTACTAAGTACTAGGCCGATTTTGAATTGTCTGTTTTCAGGAGTCAAAAGAAGTTTTTCTCTTGATCGATCTCAGTTATTTACAGAAAATCCTTAAAACTATGAACCTATTGCCGAAAATCGATTGTATCTACACATTTTCGGCTGAGATTTTGAAAGGGGACAAACGAGCATGCGGGTCTCATGATTATGTGGCCGATCTTTAGGGGTTAAAGATTCAATGATAGAAGATTTTAGAATTAGGTATGGAGTGGATTTAACCTCCGGTTACTACACGTGGTTCGTGGGTCAAACGGCGAAACACAACGCTGTGGTTGTTTGACGCCGGTTTTCTTTGGTTCCGATTCGTGTAGAAGCACAGCTCTCCCACACTTTGACTGTTATCAGAAATCGATTATAGTCAAAAGATTGAAAGTGAAAGCACAAGAAAAACAAAAGAAAAATAATCAAGTAATTATTCAAAAAATAAATTCAGGTGAAACTTGTTTAAAACATAAAAACTGAACACCATCTGTGTTTGTATCTATCTTATCCTATAATACTTTGCAAATTGAGTTCAAAATTAATTGTGACTTTAAAAACGAGTGACGACCTATTAATTTATTAAATAGTTAGCCAGGGGACATTGATTTATTGACTATGATGACATTTGACCTTGAACTTTTGTCAACTTGTACGTCCTAGTACAAGAGGTAATGGATATAAAAATAGATGACGTATTCCATTAGATATGTATGTATGTTACTATATCTGTGACTTACAAATACTACATATCAGGCAAGTAAATACTTGTATATGAAATACTAGGTAAAATTTTGCCCTAAAACCTCAAAAAAGGAAATAGACAGAAAATTCGCTGCTCTATTCATTTATTTGGTAAATAAAGGTCAGCTAATTTCCATGTGTAATTGAAATACCTACTAATAAAAAGTATATTATAAGTTATAGGATAAATAATGATAAATAGACACCAGAGTGAAAAAATCTGTTTATCCCTTCAAGGAAAACAATTACATAAACATTATTATAATTAATTAAAGCTTGTTAATTAACATTATACAAGTATTCAAATTATTATATTATTAACTTAAAGATTAACCTAGCATAAAATATTCATTCATATAAATATCCTAGAGCCCTTTTGAACAATCATGTTATTGTAATATTAAATTAAAAATAAAAAAATATTCGGACTCGACCAGAGGAAACGTCCTAACTCCGTCATCTACCTAAATAATTTATATAAGCAAACCAACTCAAGGAGGACGAGGTGCTAACTAAAAAATAATACTAAACTAAATGTCAGGTTTACGTATTTGGCAAAAAATATACAAAGAATTTAAAATGAAAAACTAGTCCCTATACGACTGGTTTTTTTGTGTTTTACATTACTGTCACATCTCTGTAGATATAATTTAAAAATCGAACAATGAATTACTTAGCGCACCTTTGTTTTCACATAGGTATTATTAATTCTTTTTAGGAAAATAAATGCGCGGATTTTCACTAATTAAAAAAGAGGTTAGTCCGGTTGACAATGCTTTTGCCTGTTTATATTAGTAAAATAAGTGGCACGCATAAAATTTGTCTTAACCCGCTAACCTAAAGGCATAAATAATCCATTAATCCATAGCAAGTATAAATAAACCTTTTACTGCGAATTGATAAAGGCTTTACTATGAACAGGGCCCGTTAAGCAGCGCATAACAAAGAGTTGTGACCTACATTCAGCACGAATAAATGTCAACGTCCGAGTTAAAATAATAATGGAACTACTTACATGCTGGCTTGCAACACAGGCACCAATTAAAAAATTAATACACTTTTTATTGGAAATGTCAAAAAAGCGCGGGAAGCGTGCGGCTACGCTTGCGCCGTGCTCGATAGCGAATGACGTGCCCGGAAGCTGGTCGCGCGCGTTTATATCTAGACATTAAACAGTTATGTTTGAAGAAGCCACAGTGAACATAGAATAGGCGCCGTGGTGCTGTATGATGCATTTCTATTACTTTTTTGTTTTAGTTTCTGCTTGACAGACGTGCCAGTGACATAAAGGCCCCACGTGTTTATGGTATACCTAGTAATGCACTTATATACAGCTTAAGAGTATCTTCGACCGGTTATTTATGACTCTAAATGCATGTTATAAAACCTTAAGTGAGAAATTAGTACTTACTCATAATAAAGCCATAAATTATTATAATTTAATGAAAACACGACTAAATAAGATATCTACAACTAGAAACATATTAATTATAAATGTAAATAAATATTTTATTTTGTGTTAAAAAAATATTGATGTATTCCTTTTTCTTTTTATCTTTTCCTTTCGACATTACATTTAGCCATAGAGTCTATTCTAAACATTGTGTAGTCTACAACGTCCCGGGATATCGAGCGCATGAAATAATATTATTAATCTTAACAAAAAATCGCCATTGATAGGATGGCCCATAAAACTAAGCGCCACAGACAACTGGCGATGTTTTTAATAAATAAACAACTATTTTAATTTATTTTTTTGTCTTTTTATATTCATATTTGGAATAAGTTTTTTCAGATTTAAAAAGCAGATTCTGTAAGCGGCCAGTGTTATTTTCTCAATTTCTCTGTTTAAAGGGTAATCGTGATTATTTCAACGAATCTTTTATTCTGAGCATGGGCAGCTGCTAACGGGGTCAATTAATACCTAATTACCACGGTCAATTAATATCTAATTATCTCTTAATCCCCATGATTACTAGATTGATGTTTATTTTAAAGTATGCGTGTTGTCGGCCTCGTGGTGGATCGGACTATCGCAAGCACGACCGGTGTACCAGAGCTTCGGATTTGATTTCTAGACAGGAAAAATATAATTGGTAAAAGATTCTGCCATAGACTTTATTCGGATAAAAAGCAGCCTATTGTTCTAGACTATAATTTATCTCTGTGACAATTTTGATCAAAATATACATCTATTCAAGCGTAGGTATTAGCAATTTATTGACTAGTCTGTGGCAATTTATTAGTACGAATTTTTTAATTGTGCTAAATAATAGCCTCTTAACACAACTCGATAAGTGAATGTAACATTTTTAATATGCTCATTTTTACATACCCTGTTATATTACCTATGCGCGTAGCATCTAGACCAACTAAGCACTTGACCATTTATTCATTTATTCACTGCCCCATCCCACCTGTCATATCTTCCTCCGGATGGTATTATGCAATAACAATGTTATAAATGTACTCGGAATAATAGCATATTAATAGTTCAAAGAAAATGCACTCACTGGTAATAAAGAACGATGCTTCTCTATGATTCAACCGACGTCATGCTTTTGGTCGGTTTTAGACAATGGAATTATAATTGAAGGTGTCAATAAAAATCCTTATCAACTTAAGAAATATAAACGTGAAATTTTAACGTATAGATCCATGGATAGACGTTAGTTTCTCTTTTAATCAAACATTTTTGGAACATAGACGTAGTGAGACTACGTCTATGTTCCAAAAATGTCTGAGTCTCAAGTCTCAAATTGAGAATTTGAGACTTGAGACTTTCAAACACATATTTAAGTTACTTTTTATTCTGGCAGTTATCTCCATATAACCCGAATGAATAAATTAAGAATCTTGATCGCTGAAACTGTAACCGAGAATGAGAAACTTCTTCAAAAACTTGGTGTAATAAAATTCATTTCCCAATACATGATTGTAGTTAATATACTTAAGTTCAAAACATTTTAAAGCCAATATGGAAGAAAAATGCAAATATGCTGCTTTAGTTTTATTTGTATTTTTTATTTTTATTTTTTAGACTTTAGTTGAATATGCTGATTTAAAACCGTTAACGTGGATATCATGCAATGTGGCCGCTGATTGACGAGTTGCATGTACAAATGTAATCAAATAATCAGGAACTAGTCTTTTCTTGTGCTGCAGAGGTGACGGAAAAACATGGAATAAATTGTATTGAATATTTTTGTCTCGGTTGTCGGAAAGTCGAAGGTAATTTTGTATGTAGGCGCAGAAGTAACCAGTAGTATACACATATCCAATCAAAAACATAAATGTGAAATGGGTGCCAAGTTCATGATAAATGCCTTGGTTGTTAATTGACTTCAACGAGAAAAGAAGTGAGATCTAAATGGGTGCCAAGTTCAATGGCCAGTCCTGAATTTTGTTTACAAATAACAGTATAACCTATCTAGGTCTAGGTCTGATTTGGCGAGTTTTCATAAACCTTCTAACGAATTTATTAAGGTACGATCGCTAGGTAGTTTCTATCAACAATCCAAATAATAAATAATTCATATACTTATATGAAAACTAGCCAAGACTTTTTTCATTTATTTTCTAATAAAACTACGTCTTATGCATATTTCATACTTAGTTGGTACCTAGTTCTACTTTATTAATAGGTATATTGTTCAAAAAAGAAAGTTACTATTGTATTCTTGAAAATGTTGAAATAAATAATAAGCAAAGTATGTGAAGTAGGTATTAATATGAGCATCTGGTCAAACAGTGACCCAGAAAACCAAGGTAGGATTTAGAAAATGAAATTAGGACAAATATGTGTATATATAAATCTGGTCTTGTGCAATGCTCACCAGATACATAATATGTGGTTAAATAAAATTAAACTTAACCTTACCCTAGAATTGTCCCCTGTGTCGTGAGTGCGGTAACAAACATACGATTTTACTTACACATAACACCCCGACCTCGAACAATAATTTGATGATCGCCCATGGAGTTGTTCCGCCCAGAGAATTCAATAATTAAATACTAATCTTTGCATAAAGTATCGTAGAGATTCCGAAAAATATTCCCAAAGATCGAAGAATAATGAGTATCTCGCATTTCTAAAAGACGTCAAAAGAAGAATGAAAGTCGGTATTGAGAATGAGGGGTCGGTGAACCTAATGCAAAATTGTGCTAGCTTCCATGTACTTAATACCTACATACATGTAGACCCAATCATACCCAAAGTACAGCTTTGGGTACTAACAATAACAACTTTAATAACACCACACCATTTTACTTAAAGCCCATAACAGTGAGAGTACGTGTTTTGGACAAAATGCCATAAAACCTTTGATGGATTACCATTATTGTTGTTATTGTAAACCAATCGTAAACGGTAAAACATGTCAGTAGATTTGTAAGAGCAAGTGCAAGAATGTACTGGCTAGTAGCACCAGAAGGAACGGGGTAGTTTTTAGTCAGTAAGAAACTGACACTTTACAAGAAATGACGATTAATTACATAGATAGATCTCCATATAACAGTACATGTCTTCAAATAAATACTCAAATAAAAAAAACACTTGAAGATCTAGAGTTCTAATCGACGCATTGGAAAGTTAGAAAGACTAATTTGAAATGAGTGATTGACAGATATATATTTTTGTGAGTATACTACTTAGTGCCTATAAGTACTGTTAATTTAACTTCTTATAATATCGGTTTATGGTTTTTTTTAATTGTCGTGAGTGAACCACATTTCATTATTTGCAGGCCAAGTCAATTAGCCATTAAGTAATTAATCATATTAATACGACTCAAGTTACCCCGCGAGTACCACCGTCTATGCATCTCATCACTAAGGACTCTGGTTGCTCTCGAAACTTATAATCGATTTAAAATTTTAATCCAAAATCTCTGGACCGATATAAAGTTTTTGACAGAAACTCTATTCAAATAATGTCAAAAATCGATCTTAATCAAAAGTTTTTCGAAATTTCTATTTACCAATATAATACTTGTCTATTAGATTCAACAAATAATATAGTTAGAGACTCGTCTTTTGTCACAATAGGTCAAAAAAACAAAGAATACAAAAACGATGTACCACAGGTCTCAGGTCATCTCTTTAAGAAACAATATCCTAACTTTTCGATACTTCTAATGTTAGGAATTTTCCGCACACACCATACTGACCTACTATCAAGTTATTAAGTTGAAGTGTGCACGACTTTCAAGTTACAATGTTCAAGAACATTCCGAACACCGCTAAATAATTTAGTAGATTCCGTTGTTTTTAATTTTGCTACTAACACATTATTGATTCATTCAAGCATTTCCGAACACCAAATCCGAGGTTTTGGTAAAGTGTTAATAAATAGTTTTTAAAATCCTCCCTAAGTATACTCTGTAAGTGGGTTAGAAGTTTGGCAGAAGATTTGCCCTTTTTTAATTTATTGAATACCACCTGATTCCTTCACCGCCTTCAGAATGCAATAGTCATAATAGTACCCAGAAATGTTTTAAAACCTAGGGTTTTTTCAAGTCAAATGCACGTCCTCAACAAAGATCAATAAAGATATTCAGTTTCTATGTCCTTTTTTGAAATTAAAATGGATTGTTTTGGCCTAAATACATACATACAAAAAGTGTTTGTTTACTTCAGATAAATCTTGTGAGATGCCAATGGTATCCGAAACTGTCCGATTGAAAGCAGCTTGAAATACTTTGGCGAGTCGTTCGGTTTGACAAAAACTGGGTACTTTTGTTTTAATTATAAAGGATAAGAAGAACTACTAAATCTGAGCTCCTGTGCCTCTTTCCAATTTTATTACCACTAAACACGATTTCTGAGTACTTATGAAATGAAAAATGATTTTCACATTTGCTTTTTTTGCTTCAAAAACTTAAAGTTAGTCTAATCTTCCTATTATTCATTATAATTCCAATATTAAAATATTATAAAGAGGTTAAATTTGTAAGTGTGTATGTTGGGGTTAATCTTTGGATCCACTGGTCAAATTTTCAAAATTATTTCAATAATAATGTGCGTTATTGCTATATAAACCGATTGAGTATGAAAATATATGATTTACAGTATTTCACCGGGTCATTTATTCGACACAATTTATTCTCATCTGTTCTTATATTTGAAGAGAAGTAAACAAGATTGTTGCCTTAATTGTTTGCGGGCC